ATGCTGTGCACCAGCACTACTCACATACGCTTCATCTGTCGAAATACAATTTAAAGAAACATTGCGTGCTTCATCATATTTTCTCAAGAGCCATTGGCAAAAATTCATGCGCCGTTCAAAATCTCCTGGTCTGAGGTGATGGACTTTGCTAGTTCTATATGTTTGGGATTCATGTTGCAAGTTTTAAATTTAAAATTTAAACTATATAAAAAAAAACTTCTTACTTGCTTAATATCAATTTATTCGGAACCGGTTTCGAGCTTAGCCCATCATCAGCCGAATCTACGTAAACGTAATTACATTATGATCAATTAAATATAATGAAAAACATAATAAAAGTATTACAATCATAAACTTACTGTCAAATAGTTAAAAAGAGACTCACGACGTCATTAAAACAAAAATTATGAAAAGAATACATATTGAAATATATCAACCAATAATGATGTATGTTATTGTGAACAATTAAAGTTAAAAACACAGTGTATAAATAAAATTGTATAGATAAAATATTTTAAAACACTTTTAAAAAAACGAAACAAAACTTGATATGAGCACGAGAAAAACGACTATGAAACAGAAAAATAAAACCGGATACAAGAGCCTAAACGAAATCGATATGAATTTTTCAGAAAAATTACAGACAATAAAAAATATAACCAATAAATAACAAAATTCGCAACACACTATATAGGAGAATCTTTTAAATATTTAAATAAAGGGTTATATTCAATGTCGATTTGATCATTCAATAATGTATTTTTTTTTTTTGTTTTTTCTCTTGAATTTATAAATTTCATATTATTCTAGTAAGTCCATTTTTTGGCCTTTACTACATTTATGAATGATTTTAACATTATTCTAATTTATGATGTGTCCTGTGTTAGAGTGATGTCTGTAAACATTTGAATTACATTTATTCTTGTGTTCTTGTATTCGTATGCCTAATCTTCTTCCTGTTTGTCCAATGTATATTCCATCACAGTTAGAAGATTCTATAGAATAGACACCGCATTTGTCAAGAGTGTCTATCTTCTCCATATGACAATTTGAGAGTAATTTCAGAATAGAATTATTATTGGAAAAAGCCAATAATATATTATACTTAGAAAAAATATTTTTGGATTGTAATGTAATATTATTGAAAGGAATAGGTTTGTAAATCTTAGGTTCTGTACATTTTAAGTATAATGGATCTTTCTGAAGTTTAATTTTATATAGAAACCGGTTCCGAATAAATTGATATTAAGCAAGTAAGAAGTTTTTTATATAGTTTAAATTTTGCTAGTTCTGTATGGCTTAAATCTGAATTTTTTCAAAATCCGCCTAGGTTTGGTTCTTGGAATTACTGTGGTTACACTCAATTGCCGCGTTATATCTGTGGATTATTTTCCATTGCCCCTAAAACTACTACTTCTTCTAATTCCCCGTCTTTATTCGGTATATAAGTTTTGATCTTTTCTTTTCAAATTGTCCGCTAGTTTGTAGATTATATCACAATTTTCTAAAAATATCATTAAAAGGTTGCCGCTTCTTTGGATATCGTTCATGATATAAATTTCCTGCAGTCTTTCCATTCTCCCCAGATTGTATAAAACATCATGTCCCATTTTTCATAATTTTTATATGACATTATTTTGAAAGTTGATGACAACTAAGTAATACTCTAACGATAAGCACTAACACTTACAACTATGATTCAAAATTTGACAGATAGATACTCATAAACAATGCATTTGTTGCAATAACAAATAATTTCGCCTGGAATATAGTGCAGTACGTACCCAGGTTGTAAGCTTGCTTAATTCGAGGTGTCTGCCAGTATACTCCTGCTCCGACCCCTTCCAGCGTTTTTGATGCATCTATGAACATGCAAATATCTGCCTGAACCAGAGAATCTTCATTTTCGATCCAGGACTGGGCACTTTGAATATCTTCGGCAAACAGGTTGCTTTGACCGTAACGATAATGTCATCAGCATAAGCTTGTATTTCTACACCAACGTCTTCCACTATCGCAATCAGATTGTCAACCAGAAAGGACCAAAGCAAGGGGGAAAAAGCACCTCTCCCTGCGGACAGCCACCTCCCTGCCTGAAGCGTAACGTGTCACCATGGAGTGAACTAGAAACTAATCTACTATCAAGCATATTGCGGATCCAACCCGCTATAGTTGCTTCCACACTGCCAAGAGCAGCTCTTTCAAGAGATTGTGGTACTGCGTTGTTGAACGCACCTTCTATATCCAGAAACGCACAAACCAAGATTTCTTTATCCTGGACCAATTTGTGTAGAGCCAATTCTTCTTATTTTGCCGCTTGATAAGCATACTGGTGGCGAGTCAGTGGACCAGATACCAGTGGCACCGTACGGATATACCGTTCCAGAACTTTTTCAATGGTTTTCAACAGAAATGACGTCAGGCTGATGGGGCGAAAAGCATTAGGAGTAGGGACCGAACGGCTCGCTTTAGGTTTATATTGTAGCTCATCGTGTAATTTTCTGAGATAGCGGGAATTTAATGTTTCTCTATGGCAGTTACCTCCCTAGCAGTCGAATTACGAACTTCAAAATAAATTCCAGCTATTTCTCTTGCACACTTTGCCTATAAGGTTTTTTCCCAAACTTTATTTTTTAAGTGCGCTCTAATGCCTTTGTGGCGTCCTGTCTAAAGTCCCTAGATTTACAAAGTACCGCGGTTTGCCGCCATTTTGGCTCGAAAGTCAAGCGGGAAATTTAAAACTATGTCGTTCTATTGATAACATTACGCCAAAACTACTTTCTTTTTTCTCGTGGTACTCTTAAGATTCGAAAGCCCTTCTTACTGCTATTTTTGCAACTCCAAAGGCAACAAGACGGCAATATTTTTGTAAATAAGTGGTGATGCAGTGACAATTTATCAAACGGCCATTTTGGCTCGGAAACAGGCGTCATGAACCGCGGTACTTTGCAAATCTAGGGACTTTAGTCCTGTCATAGCCGGAGCGCCACCCGTAGCAGGTGATGAAATATTTTTCGACGAAATTTCTTTGTCATAAAACTTCTCCAGTGTATTAAATATGGTTACTCCTTTTGTATCAGTTTCTAAATTTCTAGAAAATAATAATTCTTGACACATTTTGTCATATTCAATAAATCTCGTGTATGACAACAACAATGTTTCATTAGTTGGTAAAGTGGACTCATCTAATTGAATTGAGAATTGACTGGTCTTTGGATAATTGCACTTCATTCTCCTTGGTTGGAACGACACTGAAAAAAGTTTTAATATAGTTGCTTCTTCTCTGGATGCGTTTTTCATACCGAAGGCATACTAAATTATTTGTTTAATTTAAATACAATCAAACTGGTCACTTTTATACTTTAATTAGTTTAATTAAAATATTAGAAAAACACAAATCAGTCGTCGCTTCAACACCTTCCAATTTTCTTTGTGTTCTTATCCAGCCCTCATGTAGGCCTCTAGCGCCCACAAGAGGACAACCTTTAACAAGGTTTTTCCAGATACATGATTTTGACTCGCGTTGACTCATGTTGCCGTGTCATGCATGTGTCTTTGTAGGTGTAGGAACCTAACAGATATACCATAAATTATGTTACCAAATGTTGTGAACATTTCAGCCTGCAATTGAGGACTTTCATAACTGCCGCCTTGTCACCACAAGATCCTTGTCATTTAAAGTGACCTCTTGATCTCTAGACACTGTAACTAAGGTAATAAAATCATTGTCATCAAGGATTTCATAGCCTAGATTGGCCTAGATAATTTTTCTCCATATCCAACCATTCTACAACATCAGATTCGTCACAATCATGAAAATAAAAATAACTGGCACAATTTTTTCAATACTTTTATACTTTCAAATGGAAACATTTGAGCATTCATTTTCATGCTCTTATTCTCCAATGTCTTTGTTATCAGGCCAAAGCTGTTCAATCCATTTCCTTTTGGCGGTTTTCTGTAATAAGTAAGTCTAATAGAGTAGCATGTAGAACTACTAATCTTTTGAGTTTAGTTTTTTGGAAAGCTCAACGGACGATCGAATTTAACACTTCAACAGACATGTGCGTTGATGTATAGATATTGTCCATGATTAGCAACACTTTTCCTTGAAGTTCTTTTGAAAAATTTTCACATTTGGTATGAACATATTTTTATACCAGTCTGTAAAAATGTTACTATTCATCCAGGCACTTTCCTTTTTCTATAAGTTACTGGAAGCTCGGTAACGTTCTTGAAACACTTTGGTTTCTTACTTTTTCCAATGCCTAATAGAGGCAGTCCATGGTCATCACTAGTGTTTGCCCAAACCATCGCTGTAATTCGCTTCTTACTTACGTTAATACCTGGAGCAGCTTTTTCCTCGATGGCAAGCTAAGTTTTTTTTGAGGTAGAGTTTTCCATTTTATCCTGATTTGGTCAATGGTCATAGTTGTAAACATCTTCTCTAGCAAAACTACTATTACATACAAAATTCAATAATTTGATTGTGAAAGATACTACGACAGAACTGTAAATTTTGTAGCCATCTGCTACTAGCTTTAAAGTGACCAGGAATTGTTAATTAAAGCAAAGGACTTTTTCACATATCAATGGTCTTGACACGGATTTGCGTAAGCTATGCCTTTGGGTAAACTTTAAATACATGGTATCTTCAAGCGACTTATCGAGTTTTTTTTTAATTAAATTTTCCATCAATGGACGTTTTGCAAATTTTATTAATCTGTATATAAAAAAAAGTAAGTTGAATGTAGACCATCCCAGTTAATTTATCTTGACTGACTAATCAATGAAAATTAATATTGATAGGCAATTTATATTGTTAACATTGATTAACTTAATTATGACAATGTTTTGGTATTCACAGGCTAAATAATGACTCTGTTATATTGCCAGTCTCTACAAAGACATTTTCTTACGTCACAGACTCAATAGTAACAATTTAATAACGTTGAGATGCTTAAAAATGTATTTGCTTCCCACAAACATTTATTTTGTTTAATACTATTTTTTTTTGTATCTTTTTAGTTTGTCATATAATAAAACAAGGTCGATGTACATTAGTAACAACATTACAAATGTTTAAAATCTTAGCTTTAAACGCATTAATTTTGGCTTACACCCAATCAGTATTGTATTTGGATGGAATTAAATTAACGGATATGCAAGCGACTTTGCAAGGTTTACTTTTAGCGACGTGTTTCTTATTTATATCAAGATCGAAACCGCTAAAAACGTTATCGACGCAACGACCACTTCCAAACATTTTTAATTCTTACACGATCTTAACAGTTTTATTACAATTCGCCGTTCACTTCATCTGTTTAATTTTTTTGGTACAACAAGCCAAATTAAGATTACCAATGTAAGTTAAATTTAATTTATTTTTTGGGATTTTCTTAAAATTTGGTTTTATTTTTAGGGATGAAAGTGATGAAAGCGATGAAAATGTAACAAGTACGGTTAAATTGAGTACAGATGAAGGTGAAGAAGAACCCTTTGTACCAAATATAGTGAATAGTACGGTTTATATTATTTCTATGGCTTTGCAAATAGCTACTTTTGCGATTAATTACAGGGTGGGTTTTTATTATTTTTATAAAATTAAAATTTGATTTGAATCTTTTTAGGGTCATCCCTTTATGGAAGGGCTTACACAAAATAAAGCTTTACTTTACAGTATGGTCGGTTCAGCTGGAACTGTATTAGCTTTAACTTTAGGTTTACTTCCTGATTTAGCGGCACAATTTGAAATAATAGACTTTGAAGAAGACGTAAGAATTTTTCTCTTTGTGTTATTGTAATTATTAATTTTGTTTTGTTTTCAGTTTCGAATGATTTTACTTCAAATATTATTCGCCGACTTTTTCTGTTCTTTATTAGTGGACAGATTATGTTTGTGGATATTTGGAGAAGGAAATCTTCCGCGTGCTTTAGTAAAATCGTAAATAAATAAAAAAGATCTCTTAAATGTGCGTGGATTTGTGTGTACATAATTTATTTGTACAAGTGGTGATTGTATTTATTTGGGAGATGTTTGTAAAAAAGAAGAAAAAAACGTATTAATCTACATCTTAAAGAAAAATACCATTCCTTTTTTGATTTTATTTTTTAATACAATACGGAAATGTAAAAAATAGTGTTTTTTACAATTTTTCTACTTAATTTGGTGTATTTATTTTTGGTTGTTTGGAATCAATTTCAATATTTCCTTTTTAAAGTGAGTACTTTATTTTTTTGCGAGTTTAAAAAAAGGTACATTATAATGTAAAGTGTTAAAATCAAGGTGATGAATAAAATATGTAAAAATATTTTATTTATTTATTTAAAAATCTGGTACAGTACAGGACGAACCTAATAAAACCGTATCACAGCAAGAACAACAACAGTGCAGTTAAGTAATAGTAACAAAAATGATAATTATACTATGCAGAATAACCAAAAATATAAAAAAGATAATTATTTAAAAAAAAAGAAAACTAACTCTATAATCAACATACAATAAAATCTCAGTCAGTTATATGAATAATTGTTAATTTGCTCTCAATTTCAATTTCGAATAGCTATCTATACCGTTGCGTTCTTTATCAATTAATTTTAGTTCAATGAAAAATATACAACAATCTAATAATGAATAACAATTAAAACTAACACTAGACGTAAAACTAGGAGCATTGGGGTTTAGCCATCTTGAGAGACGTACAGCTAAACATGAATGTTTCTAGGTCTAGTGTTAGTTCAATGAAAATATACAATAATCTAGCTCTGAATTACAATTAAACCTAGAACTACCGCCCTTGTATTATACAGGTAAACGTCGTTTTGCGCCGGTTCGATTTACGCCGATTCACAATTACGCCGGTTGGCGCCGACGTGGGATTCCCCAGGAGATTCACTCTGGAGATTTTCACAGACTGGTATAAAAATTATTTTTGCCCTACTGTGCTTAAATTTTTTGACCGAAATAACCTTCCAAAGAAAGCAATCCTCCTACTAGACAATGGTGTAGGACATCCGCAAAATCTTGACACCTTAGACATGGGATTGGACGTCAAGGTAACTTACTTAGGTTGTGTTAGGGGGCATCTAACACAACCTTCGTTTTACAACCCATGGATCAGGGGGTAATTTCTACCTTTAAAGCGTATTATTTGCGCATAACATTAAAAGCAATGATTAAGGCGATAGATACTAATTCCAAAAGGGACCGTTAAAGATTATTGGCGATCATACGACATTTTGAAAGGAATAAAAAATCTAAAGTCTGCTTGGGACGAAGTGACAAAGAAATGTTTAAACGGCGTTTGGCGTAAACTTCTGCCTGGATTTATACAAGGTGCAAGTGTAGAAGTGGTAAATAATATTAACATAAACGAAGACATTATCAGGCTTACACGCTAATGTGAATTCGACGACGTAACAACTGAAGATGTGACCGAACTGTTAGATGTGCATGATCAACCTCTTGCAACTCTCAAATCAAGAATTAGCAGAGTTGATCGAGGCATATGATCGCCCTCAATCAGAAAATCCCGAAGAAGAAGAGGAGGATGAGAAACAAAATGATAGGAAAATCCTAAAAACGGACGATCTAACTCGTATCCTTTCCTCTATAGAAAGGTTAACAGGTGAGTAACTCTGTGAGATAGATGGGGATTACAATTGAGTGGTCTGACTAAAAACAAAAAGTCATAAAAGCATATTAATGCCATTGGAGGAGTGATGGAGAATCACATACAGGCTGTCTCAGCGAGACCGGTCATTAGACGTTTCTGGGGTTCTGGCCAAACAAAAAATTTGAGAATGCAGACTTAAGTATTATCAATTACGTTCTCTTCATCTAAAATATTTTCAGATTTCTAGCACTTCCGGTTATACCGGAAGTCGCCACCTGCTTTATTTTTTTAAATGGAACACCCTGTATATTTTTACATATTTGGATTTGTCTGTTTTGAAGGTTTATAAATAACTTTACTTTTTGCAATTTGAACCAGCAATTCTCGAGTTATTCGAATTTTTCTAGAAAAATTTGCTCCAGCGGACATTTGTTCAAAAAATCATAGAACACTCAATTTTTGAGATATCAATTTAGGATTCAGAACATGCTTAAACAACATGATGGAGTATGTTTTGGTGCCGAGAACGGCTGTCTAGATCGTTTGGTCACTTTACTATGATACGTTAACTTTTCGAAATTTGGAAGCACCATAACTTCATTGTTTTAAATGGCACCCCCCATATTTTATTACTTAGTCGTCTTCGGCGTCTCATT